TTGAGTCTGTCAGTGATCAAACAACCATCCCTCCACCAGTGCACATTTCCACCACCAATATCCTCAGTATTCCCCCCTCCCCCGCCTCTGTGGCAGACAATTTCCCCCATACTCTCTCTCTACTTTTGGGCACTATCTTCCCCTTCGTTGTTCATCAACTTGCTTGAGCGGGCCCAGTAACATCTCCATCGTGGGACTTGTTGCTACTGTGTTTGTCTTATTGAATACGTCATGGTAGCTTGCCAGGCTTTGCAGTGCTGGCGAGATACTCTAGGTAGCTTGCTGGGCTCTCTGAGAGGGGCAGAGGAATCAAACCCCGCTTGCCTGGGCTCCATTTTGGGTATTATGGTTTGCAATACAGATACTGAGAGACTATCACGTTTGGTCTCTAGCTAAGTGGAGCTCCCAAGCCTTAGTTTATCTGCAAGGCATTTAATTCTGGGTGTTGGACTATTAGAAAGTCTGACTTGTCACCTTTTTCTTACTCACCTTGATAGGATTTTGTCCTCTTACCTTCCTATGCACCATTGTCTTCCCTTTTCACCTTGTCTTTTGAACCACCGAACCACTTCCAAGGAGACAGAGGCTGCTTTCTACTCACTTTGAATCCACCCAAGCAGGGAGGAAATTCGTTCTTGCCATTTCAGATGAATGGGAAGGCTTCTGCGTCCGTTTATTTATTTATTTACATAGTTATTTTTGGTTTTTGGTCATACTCAGCTGTGTCAGGGCTTACTCCTGTCTCTGAGCTCAGGAACCAACCATGGAGAGCAACTGTCTTACTCACTATTCTCTCTCTCTCTCTCTCTCTCTCTCTCTCTCTCTCTCTCTCTCTCTCTCTTTCTCTCTGTCTGCAGCTCTTCTGCTTCCTTTTAATTACTAATCATTTTTTGGATTCACATAGAATACTTGTCTCCATAGAGATTCACTGGAAATTCAGATCATCATTAATTTAAAGCTGGTCTTTAAGACCAGGCTTTCTTTATTGGGGTGGCGGTGGAGGTGCTTCTCAGGAGGTAAGGAGGCCCATGGGCTGCACTAATTGGGTCTGCAGTTCAACACAAGGGACTGAGGATGCGATACTTCCTATCTGTGGTGTCCCTCCCTACCTGGAAGGGACCTATGGTGCAGGGATCTTCAGGCCAATCCAGTGGCGCTGGGGGCCTCCAGGGTTACAATCAGTGATGCTCAGATGCCTGGGGACCACGTAGTGCAGGAATTGAGTCTAGATAAGGTGTATGTGAGGCATGTGCCCAAACCACCATACTTTACACTGGGTTTCCTTAAACTTTTTCCACTGTGACCCCTTTGCATCTAAAAATTTTTATGTGAACCTTGATGTAAAATGTATAAAATAGGTATACTAATCAGACATTTTCTGATATATCAGAAATTTCCTGATGATAAATTAATTTATTATTATTATTTTGCTTTTTGGGTCACTCCCAGCGATGCTCAGGGGTTACTTTTGGTTCTGCACTCAGGAATTGGTCCTGGTGATGCTCGGGGGATTATATAGGATGCTGGGAATCAAACCTGGTTAGCCATGTGCAAGTCAAATGCCCTACCCACTATACTATCACTATGGCCCCAAAGAAATTAATTTTAATACAAATTTTTAAAAATTTAGAGTACATGTGAGGTTACAGTTTAAAGAAGCTAATTTTAGAGCCTCTTTAGGAGTCTTGTAAATAATTTTATGAGGAAAAACAAAGTGGAAAACATAATCACCCTGCATTATGATTAATGGGGCGAGGCTTAAAGGGAGAGGAATGTCAAAAACTCAAGAGTTAAGGGGCCAGAGTGATAGCACAGCGGGTAGGGCGTTTGCCTTGCACGCGGCCGACCTGGGTTCAATCCCTGGCATCCCATATGGTCCCTCGAGCACCGCCAGGAGTAATTCCTGAGTGCAGAGCCAGGAATAACCCCTGAGCATCGCTGGGTGTGACCCAAAAAGTAAAAAAAAAAACAAACCAAAACACCACCCCCAACCCCCCCCCCCCAAACCCCTCAAGAGTTAAAAAAAAATCTCACTAAGATAGAGGAATATGAAGTTTCCACAGCTAAATTTAATTGTGGTTGTTTTGTTTGTTTTGGTATTATGGCCACACTTACTCCCAGCTTGAGATTGCTCCTGGTGGAGTTTAGGGCACAATCCAGGGCTGTGGAATGAACCTGGGCTTCTGATGGAGAAAGGTGCTCAGCTGTTTGGACTCTTTCCCTACCTCCTTGCAATGCACAGATTTGAAAGGGGTTAGTGGTAGGTTGCTTACAGTTCTGTAGAAAATAAAATGTTTTCTGAATTCTTGGCTCCCACAATGGTCATTTCTTGTGCTTTTAAATGTTTTGCAAAACATTGAACCACTTTACTACACAAAGGAAAATGTCTTTTGTGAGTTACATCCAGGCAAATGTTTATAAAAAATTTGAAGCTGTTGAATAAAGTACTGAATGTACAGTTAATTGAACATCATTAAACAGAACTTTGCTGTCCTTTTTATTAGTACACCATGAAATGATATAAGATGTCACACAGTTTTGAAATCTCAAAATTAAAACTACTATTTTGGGCCAGAAAGATAGTACAGCGGGTAAGAAGCTCACCTTGTATGTGGTGATCTGGGTTTGACTCCCTAGCACTGCATATTATTGTGCTTTCAAATGTTTTGCAAACCTGAACCACTTTACTACACAAAGGAGAATGTCTTCTAAGAGTTATATTCAGTCAAATGTTTACAAAAAATTGGAAGCTGTTGAATAAAGTAGTGAAAGTACAGTCCCCCAACTCCTGCCAGAAGTGATTCCTGAGCATAGATCCAGAAGTAACCCCTCAACTGCAGTGTTTGTCCCCCAAACAACAACAACAACAACAACAAAACAAAACATAGCAAATTGTATTGATGTTAGTAGAGAAGAAATAGCCCATATAAATAACCATTTGAAATTTAGTGAAAAAAAATAAGAATCACAGAAATTGGGGGTCAGAGAGGTAGTAGAGCCTTACATGTGACAGACAGGGGTTCAATCACTGGCACCCCATGTGGTCCTCCAAAACACTTCCAGGAGTGACCCTGGAGCCCAGAGACAGGAGTAAGCCCTGAGCACCATGGGGTATGGCCCCAAGACCAAAAAACAAAACAAACAAACAAAAAGAATCAGAGAAATTGATTTAAGTATAATAACTTTGGGATGGAATGTGGTGGCTTAAGACAATACAACAATAACTGCAGTTAGAACAACCCCTATCTGTTCTAGTTAAATCAACCCTACAATTTTATTCCTAGTGTTTGTAATTATAAGCATAGCAACAACTGAAAAATGGACTTAGTTATATGGGTTATATTGATTACCCTGGACCTATCTAACATTCCAGAAAAAAGCAGATTTTCCTGAATACAGAAAGCTGGATTTTGTGCAGAATCCTCAAGTTCAAAGTCGGCACCATCCAATAAACTTATTTCAGTTACTAGTGGTTTCTTTCAACTTAATGCACTGGAGCAGTACTTAGAGAGATAAAATAATTTCATAAGAAAGTTGTTTGGGGGGCCAGAGTGATAGTACAGTGGGGCAGGATGCTTGCCTTGCACATGACCAACATGGGTTCGATCTCTGGCACTCTATTTGGTCCCCTAAGCACCACCATAAGTGACCCTGAGCACCGAGCAAAGAGTTACCCTGAACACCATTGATGTGTCCCCCAAACACCGCCAACAAAAGGAAAATCACGTGGTAATTCAAGCAACAATATGTAGTGTTTAAAAATTAATAGACACAGTAAACATTTTTTCCACTTTTAGTGCTTTCCTGGCTTTGTTACACTTAAATACAGCTGGAATTAATTTTGGCTCAAGGAAAGGAGTAGGGCTCCAAATTTTCCTTTCCAAATGGTTAGCCTGCTATCTCCAAACTATTTAATGATTACAGATCTAATTAAAAAGCATGCATGTGTCCCAAATGCTTTTTAAAAAGAATGCAAATGAAGTCCTGGAAAAACATTATGACATGATTTTCTGTTTGCAGATGGTTTTATTCCAATTAAGAAAAATTCAACCCTTAATGAGGACTTGTAAAGAAACTCAGAAGTAGTAAAAGATATACTTTTACCTACAGAAAGTATAAATAAACAACCTGTATAGAAGCTCTGAAGTCATGCTATTTGTATCAGAAATACAAAAAAAATATTTTGAGGCGTATGGAGATAGGAAGGTGTTTGTTTCAGCATTGTATGTGATACTTCTCAGTTTCTTGAGCAGCTGCAAACCTCTGGAGTGCTTGCTCTGTGGGTCAGTCACACCCACATTCTGGACCCAGACAGATATGATCTACATCTCCACAGGCCTGTGTTTTCCTTTCCTGTATGTTTCTCTGTCTCCACTTTTGATTTTACTTTTTCAAAATTAGCATGGATTACCTTTATTTATTTATTTTTTGCTTTTTGTGTCACACCCGGCAATGCACAGGGGTCACTCCTGGTTCTGCACTCAGGAATTATTCCTGGCGATGCTCAGGGGACCACATGGGATGCTGGGAATCTAACCTGGGTCGGCCGGGTGGAAGGCAAACGCCCTACCCGCTGTGCTATCGCTCCAGCCCAGCATGGATTACCTTTAATATTTAAAATATGTAACCAGAAATAGAGTACTTTGAATGGGAAGCAAAAGAAGCAATGAAGTAATCAAGGCAATTAAGGGTTTAGTGGACAGTACAAAATGATTCGGGAACTACAAATTAATTTGAAGTACCACAACTATGAAATAATCTACTCATTATTATTATTGCTGCTGTTGTTATGTTTTGGACCACCCCTGATGGTGTTCAGGGCTTAATCTTGGCTCAGTGCTCAGAGGTGATTCCTGGTGATGCTCAGGAACCATCCAAAGTGCCAGGGACCAAACCAGAGTCTGCAGTGTGCCAGGCAAGTGCCTTAACTCCTGTATACCAATCTCGGCTTATACTTAATTTTTATAACAAAGAGACAACTAGTAAAAGTGATGATTTAAAAAATTTATTATTTAATTTTTTTTTAAAAAAGCAACTTCCAGGGTTTGTCATTGTACAGGTTTATCCCAGTCTTCTATAGCATTGTACAGTGATAACTGAATTTTTATAACAATGACTCAGGCACTGAAGATCCATACTGTCTTCTGAATTATCACAGAAAAAAGAAAGAATTAGAAGAAAAGTTTAACGTTAAGTGTATTTAAAAGATCATATTCTAATTCTTTTAAATTGGTTATCCAAGTATGATAATATAGCAGAGCTCAGATAACTAGAAAAGATAACTCTAGAACATCTCATTTCCTTCTGTTGTGCATTAACGGGCTTTGTACTGCATCTACCTTTATATAATTGCAAACTAGTTCAACCCGTTTTACACAGCATTAACTATTTTGTTGGGTTTGTACTAGGGCAAAACTGTTGCTTATAACCTGATTATCACTTCTAGTTCTTTAATAGATTGCCCTCATCTGACACTGCATTTGCACTTCAGTATATGTAAGACTTCGAGAATATCTCTGGCCATTCTAGTGATATTTACAATGAGGTTGCCTAAGGTCAAATATTCATGAATATCATTTATCCACCAGTTTTGTTTTTGACTTTACCAGGAGACCTTGTTTCTCACTGAAGTATGTGTCAAATTTTAGGTCATAAGTTGGTTGTGAGTTGGAAATAACACAGGAGAGCATGGAATGCAAGGTTCTTATTAATGCTGTGCAAACAAGGGTCTCGTCTTTTCAGTAACTATTTGTACATTTAGAAAAGCAATAGTCATGGGAAAAACCAACAAGCACAGCTTGGGAGAATCACCTGCCATGAAATATCATTGGCCTTATAATAATTTACTACAACTGTTCTTTTTATTCACACTGGGTAGAAAATGCTTCCATCTAACACATGGAATACGAATATATACAACGAGAAATTGGGCTTTATAAAAAAAAGGAACTTATTGAGGAAAATAAGAGATTGAAAAATAATTTTGTGCAATTTTCTGATCACAATCATATGTCTGCTGCCTATTACGGGGAATGATACAAGTACTGATCGCTTTTAGGAACCAGTTAAAGAATTTTTCAGCCTGCTAACAGCCTACTATTAAAATATTGCCTTGTTCATACAGGAAAGAAGCTTCTCCTCAACTGTACTTCTAAATGGCTAGGGAAGACCTGAGGAGTTAGTTTCAAGGTCAAACCCTACTAATTCTTTTCCCAATCATCAGATATTTGCAGTTCCCTATTTCATCAAAAAGTTCACCAAAATATCTTGAAAACTGTACTTGGTTATGATTAATGTGCTACTGAGATCCTGAATGTTACATTCTCACCTGTTGCCCACCATCTTGCACAAAAATGACAGCATCTTGGCTTGAACTTTCTATGGTGCAATGAGTTATGCAGCAGTGGTGTGGGGTGGACCATTTTGTACTGCCAGCAGTCAAAACAGTTGCCATGGGCTCAACACCTCTACATTGTGAGCCTAGGGAGCCCATTCTCTTATGGAATGGTTTTCTGGAGTCCAGCAATGTCACTGCAGGTAGCTGAGACATTCTGCCCCTGCTTCGTGAGTTTACACTAAAGAAGAAACTAGTGTTCTAAATATAGAACTGGGATGGGAGGGTAGGGAGAGAGGTTGATTTCTTAAGTCTTACAAACTGTCTCTGATTTTCGCTCTATGAGAAATCTGGAAGGGTCTTTCTGGAAGTGGCAGACTTGGAGGAATGCTAGGTCCGAGGTATGCTGGGAGAAATATGGGTTTAGTTTTGGCACTGCAGATTTAGTGCATATAGTTCCCCTCTAGGGCCCTCTGTTAGATCTATTTCTCCCTCACTATACCTTTTATGCCCAAAGGATTCCTCAGTCTCCTCTGCAATCTCTGTTTCCACTTTCTAAGAAAAGGGTGGCACTTAGGGCCCATCTATTTTCAATTTTAACTGGTGAGTGGTGAGTGGTGGCTCTTTGGGGTCATGATTGACAAAGAAATAATTAGTCTTCATTAGAATAGCACAGTGATGGGTGATCTATGGCTACAAAGTTGGTGTTGATAAAATGCAAGTCAGGTCCTTCTGTCCCTGTTCCATGCAATGGAATTAATTTGACTTGATGGATTTCTGAAGGATCTTTGGTGAGTACAGCTTAAAGCTCTAATTTGATATTAGAAAAGGTTTCACAATTCACGAGGTTTAGAGGAATTTTAATACCTATGGAATGCTAAAGGGGGGTGAAATTTTTGAATAATTTTGTGCAAAAGCCTGTCAATAGCCCCTGTTTTTACCTCTGGATGGTGAAACCCAATCTATAAAGTGATTAAAGGGCTTGCTAATGGGAACAGATTCAGAAAGACTTGGAGGAGTAGGTGCTAGTCACTCAGGGTGGTCACGTTGTATATTTTCCTTGCTTACAGCAGATTATGTGAATATGTTGAAACGCCAAGGAACAATATTTTTTGTAGTCACCACCTGTACTTTTTGGGACGTTAATCAAAAAGGCTAGGAATAATTTTCTTATCGTGTCAGGTACATTATCTTTTAGGTCTATGTGGAAGTCTTGGCTGCACACCTTAACCAAGAAAGGAAGAAAAACAAAGTGTGGAACTATATGGCAGGGACGAGTGATGTCATTTTGGGAAGTTCAACTCACATTTGTCTTTGGAAAATGGGGTCAATAACTTCTTCATTCAGACTAAAGACAAATACTGATTTTTAACACGAATCATTAACAGGTTTTCCTTGACAGTGTTATTGTCTATTGTGTAAGGGGTCATATTGTACCAAAACCAGCCACTTCTAGCTGCTGATAATCTGTGGGGTTTAGAAACTATATGATGCTCTCATAAGTCTTCCCCATGTCAATGCATACACCTGATTTCACTTACACAGCAACCTGGCAACATACCTCTTTTCCATCTCTAAATACCTGCTCTCTCTCTCCCTTGGAAAGTGGGAGAGTTTGAAATAAAAATAAGGAATTTACTCCTCTGCAAATCACAGGAGAGCGGGCTTTTGGGTACCTGTCTGATGTTGAGTTTCTTTCCACAATGGGAATCTTAAGTTCCCCAGCATTGTAGAAAAAGGACTTCTACCTTCCTGGGTGAAGAGCCCTTGGTTCTTAGGCCAATGCCTCTGAAGAGTGGAGGAGAGGAAACATCTTTTAGAAACCCAACCAAGTTATTTCCTAATCAACTCTGCATTTTACCCTCAGAGAAATGATGTTCTCATTGCTCTCCATGAGACTCAATCCCATTTAGAGAATCTCAGCAGCTTCACACACTCTCGGAACCTTCTAGAAGTGATGGTTAGTGGGCTGGCTAGAATTGAGGCTGTGGTTGTCTCCTTTGTTTTTAGTCATTTCAAAATTTTGATTTCCTTCATCTGATCACAATTGGCCAATGTGCTGGCATTACAAAACAATTTTTGAAGGTATGTGAATGTCAGTGGGCCTTATCACCACTCATTTCCAAAGTGGAAGACTCCTTTAACTAGAAAGACTTGATCTAACACCACAGTAGAGTCTCCTCCCCAAAGTTTCTGAGAGCTCAGAGCCATGAACTTTGGGTTTTAGACAGAAGGCCTAGGAGGAGGTCGGGAGGGAGGTGGTGCTCTGTTGGGAGGCGGGGCCTGAGGAGGAGGGGGAAGGGTGGAAGGAGGGGATGGAATTGGCGGTGTGGGAGCACTGGGGGGTGGGGGAGGGCAATGGGGTGCAGGGGGTGGGGGCGTATAGATGGGGGCAGGAGGTGGCGAGGTGGTGTGGTAGGCATTGTTGAGGGGGTACTTGGCCGGCTGGTTGTTCTTGACTCTGGTGAAGTTGATGCAGCGCCCCTGGAAGAGAAACAGAGAGAAGACATGAGCTGAGGCTTGCTCTGTGGTCTCCATCAGGGCAGGTGGGAAGTGTGTGGGGTGGCTACGAGCAAACGGGCAGAAGGCAGACATTTTATTTATTTTTTCTTTTTTAAATTTTAGTGAATCATCATGAGGTACAATTACCATGAGGTACACTTACAAACAGTGGCACTTGCATTTCAGTCATACAATGATTGAGTACCCATCCCTCCACAGTGCCCATTTTCCACCACCAGTGGTCCCAATATCCTTCCCATAACCCCTACCCGTCCCCTCCACCCTCACCCACCTCTGTGGCAGAGCTTTCCCTTTTGCTCTCTCTCTCTCTCTCTCTCTTTCTTTCTCTCTCTCTCTCTCTCTCTCCTTTTGGGTGTTGTGGTTTGCAATAGAGGTATTAAGTAGCCATCATGTTCAGTCTATAGTCTACTTTCAGACCACATCTCCCATCCCAAGCGGGCCCTCCTAGCACCCTTTACTTCATGGTCCCTTCTCTATCTGAGCAAAGGCAGACATTTTATATATGAAGATGCTTTACTGGACACAATAGAACTTGAGACAAGTTATTTCTTTTATTTCTTTTTCTGGCTTTCCCTGTCAGAATGTTATGTGTTAGAATTCTCCTTCCCACCTGACCCCTCTCTCTCTAGAGCCTCTCTCTCAAGGCACAGGAAATGAAGGTGACTAACCTGAACAACAAGCAAGGGGTCAAGACACATACTGAGGTCATCTAAGACAATTTCCTCAACAGCTTTGCCAGCCAGGTGTTATTATTAACAAATATTTTCCATTTTATAGAGGAGAGTACTGAGGGCAGTTGGAGATTTAAATCCCCAGTACAACTTCTCTACTTTCTGCTTTACTATGTTGACCTCTAAGTAGTGGCCCCAGAGTTTATAAGTGAGGACACCAGTTTCAGTAGATTTCAATAACACATCTGGAGGCAGTAAGTTCATGGCATTAGCGCCCCCTATATTGCCATTCATAGCGCTGAAATGATCTGCAATATGCAATATGTGGCGGATTGGAATGATTCTAAGGACTCTGTGTTTTCCTCTGATTTTTTTCCCCCACCATCTTAACTATTTGTCTGCACATAGGAATAGTGAAGGAGCTCTTCCTCCCAATGTGAACAGGTAGATCCCCTCCATACCTCTGCCTTCCCCAAAGTCTGGGCATGAGCAAGGGTCGTGCCCTGGTAAGGGTGCTCTTCCAGATGCTGCTGCATGCACCCAGAGAGCTTTGAGGTAGGTGTGTGTGTGTGTGTGTGTGTGTGTGTGTGTGTGTGTTAGAAATAGAAGCTGGAGGGCTGGAGAGACAGCATGTGAGAGACTCAGGTTTGAGACACAAATTCTCTGAATAGTACCAGGACTGATACCAAGCACTGAGCTGGAATTCGCCTCTCAGCACCACTGGATATGGTCCAGACACCAACAAAGAAAAGAAGGGAAGGAAAAGGGAAAAGGAACAGAGGCCAGAGTGATAGTACAGTGGGGAGGGCGCTTGCCTGACAAGCAGTCAACCCAGGTTCAATCTCCGGCATCCCATATGGTACCTGGAGCACCACTGGACGTAATTCCTGAGCACAGAGGCAGGAATAAGGCCTGAATACTGCTGGGTGTGTCCCATAAACAATAATAACAACAACAGAAAAAAAAAAAGGAAAAGGAAGGCGGGAAGAATAGAAGGAAAAAAGAAAGAAAGGAAGAAATATAACCCTGGGATGCTTTATTGCAATGCAGGCATCTTCCCTGGATTTTTTTTTTTTTTGTAACTTCCTGAGGACACACCTGAACAATATAAAACAGACACCTCCAGACACCTCCAGCCTCCAGAAATTTTAGAATCTAAACCCAGACCTTTGTGTCCCCATTTTCTCCTACACCCAAGGACAGTAGACATAAGGTACAGGAAGATTTCCCCATAGTTGGAAGCCTGCCTCATGAGCTGAGGGAGAAGGCAGCTGGGATAGAGAAAGGATCACTAAGTCAAGGATGGTTGGAGGGATTCCCTCTCTGTTTTCTACAGCCGTACCATTTCTGACCTCAACAAATAGCTCTAGCCTCAACAGAAACCCTGGAGACTTTCCTCTAACCTGCATGTAAAAGGAGCACAGTGCTTCCCCCCCACAGTGCTCACCTTCAGGGCCTTACTCCCTGCTGTCATTTAAGACACCCTCACCTCTTGCCTGGGCAGGGTGCTGGCCACCTTTTGGACTCTGGTCTCCCTCCAAACTTCCCATACCTATGGGAGCCTCTTATTTCTCTCAACTGATGCCCACAGAATCTCTCTTTGAAGATGGGGGCAGAGGTGGGGTCACCCTTTCTGAATCTTCTCTTTCCATTTATCCTTCTGCTCACTGAATTAGATGCAACCCTACATTAGGGTCAGGGTATGGATATCTTTTTCTGGCTTCACTTTGTAGGATGACCCCCATGCTGGGATGTCCAGTCTGAATATAATATGTCCAGAGTCTAAAGTTTGTTTTTCTAGGCCCTTGGAAGATAGGCCTGAGGGCTAATGAAGAGTATGAAATTGTAGAATTTAAGACCCACAGAAAAGAGGGAAGGGAAGTGTATGATTTGAGATGTGACCTGAAATGAGAGCTTAGCAGAGACCTGGTATGTTTGTGAGAGCTGCTGGGGCCTGAGCCAACCTCCTTCATGAGCATACGTCTCCCTGTTTTCTTCAAGTTCCTTTTCCTCCACACAGCTTCCTCTGATAACCTCCTTCTTGCTTCCTTCCCTGAGTTATTCTCTAGTCACTGTCTACACTATACATTGAACTCAACACTGATCCACACATTGGTTTTGTCTTTACATTGCCTCCTTCACTGGGTGAGGAACTTCTAGAAGGCAAAGGTCTTGTTTTTTTTTTTTTTTTTTTGCAAAGGTCTTGTTTTGTACCTTGCTTCCCAAGTTTTCTGTGAGCCTCATGAATGCTCTGTACACAGGGAGATTGCTTGTCCAAACTGGGTTGTATAGGAGCCATTTGTGAAACTATAGGGACTTGGGCAACATTGGTAATAAAGGCTAAAAAATTCCTTTATAAGACAAAACATTAGTACATAATATGAGACCACACCCAAGGACAATAGAGACAAGGGTCAGGAGAATTGGTTTATAGTTGGAAGCCTGTCTCAAATGCTGGGGGAGAATGCAGTTAGGATAGAGAAGGGACCACTAAGTCAATGATGGTTGGAGAAATTGCTTTGGATGGGAGATATATGCAGAAAGTAGACAAAGGACCAAACATGATGGCCTCTCAGTATCTGTATTGCAAACCATAATGCCCAAAAGCTGAGAGAGAGAGAGAATAATAAAGAAAGTGCCTGCCATAGAGGTGGCGGGTGTGGTGGGGGTGGTGGGAGGGATACTGGGAACATTGGTGGTAGAAAATGTACACAGATGGAGGGATGGGTGTTCGAATATTGTATGAATGAAACTCAATCATGAAAGCTTTGCAATTGTATCTCATGGTGACTTAATTAGCACTATAGTACTGTCCTCCCATTGTTCATCAATTTGCTTGAGCAGGCCCAGTAACATCTCCATTGTAAGACTTGTTGTTACTGTGTTTGGCATATTGAATACGCCACGGGGAGCTTGCCAGGCTTTGCCATGCAGGCTAGATACTCTTGGTAGATTGCCTGGCTCCCCAAGAGGGGCAGAGGAATCAAACCTGGGTTGGCCGCTTTGGCCATGTGCAAGGCAAACGCCTAGTCAGAGGGAGTCTTGACAAGAAGGGCCAAGCTTAATTGCCCGGCAACTGATATAGAAAATTATATATCAGATTTAGATGGCAGCATCCCATTTTAATTTAACTTGAGATTTATGAGCTTAAACCAGGACCCAAGTTTATAGCTTCTGATTAGGGTCCACCAACTGTAGGGATAAATTACTCTACATGCATTGCATTATCCAAAACTCCTAGATCTTGTTCAAACTTTATGTATTCAGTTGATTTTGTAACCCGGTATTGCAAATTCACAGTCATCCAAACAACCCTATTTTACAGCTTTATAAAATCTAAGTCTTGGTTATAGTTTATCTATGATTCTGGATGAAGCTCATTTCTCCAAGATGTCCAAACCCTGATAATAACCATCTGTGATAAATTGCTATTACGGACAACTTAGAGTTGGGATTTACTATACACATCATGCTCTCCTTTCTAGACACGCTAAGTCAGACTAAGAGACACAAGTGATTCATTTCCTTAAAGGTGAAGAAAAATCCTGAGGCTGACGCATCTGGTGCTAAGTCCCCATGTGTCTGCTTTCTATTTCCCGAACACAGACCACTGATGGCTCTCTCCTCCCTACAGAGATTTGTGAGGATGGACTGTGGAGAGAGGAGATGGGGCTTGTTAATTCCCATCACTTATTTTACACAATTGTAACTAACATTTTTCCTAAAGGCTGTTTTTGTGGAGTTCAGGTGGATCAGGAGTTCCCAGACATCTGCCAATACTTTTGTTCATAATGTTCATAGCCTAGATTAGGATCACCAGAGGTCTTCACAGAGATCCAAAAAAGATGCCCAGAATGAAAAGTGGTCCCTCCTGTATCAGTGGGAAATTGAGGGAATAGGGCAGGGGGTGTAGGAGAGGCCTCGCTTTCTGAGGCCTCCAGCTGTCACCGGGGCTTCTCCAAGCAGTTGAAGATTGGAGTAGGATGGGATGAGGAAAGGCCAAGAATGTCCCATTCTTTGGTCTAGGAGGTGTACCCATAGTCTCCTGTCTCAGAGCTCTGGGCTGTGACTTCAGGGACGCGTTAGTCATGAGAGCAGTCCAGAGCAGTCAGTGGGCAGCCAGACGAAAGGGACTACTCATAGCTTCAGCCCTGCCACTTGCTGTGTGACAGGCCCCTCGGTGCTGGCGATTTGGGGTAGGGATCATACCACCTGCCATATGCAGTTCTTAAGAGAATTCACATAAACAGTGTTGGTGAAACCTTGGAATAATACTGGCAATTGGTGTTT